GAAAGTGGTGGCCAGAGCCGGGAGCAGAGGTCACCCCCCACCCTTGCATTCCTCTCTATTCCGCCGGTCGTCGTCGGCGGTCCTCTCGCCTTACATATGTTTTATGGCTGGTGTAATGGCGGCCGTTTTCACGCTCCGGTATCGCCGGGCGCCCCCCGCCACCCTTCCCCTCCTCCTCCCGCACCCTTTCGCGGTGCCTCGGGGCGTTAGGGCCATCAAAGGCGCCAAACGCAAGGGAAACGGGCGGCGTTACTCCCTCCCCCTTCGGCAAATAAAAGGAGTCAGGTCAGACTGGGTGGCACGGGCGGGGCGTGGCGGGGCCCTAGCCTGGCTGGCGAGACGGCCGTGCGGATGGCTGGCGGAGGCTGCCGCGGATGGTCTCGCGCGGGTAGGCGCTGGCGGTTCGGCCAGGTGAGCACGCGGGTTACTGCCGCGCGGTCATAACCAAACCAGACCATAACCAGAGAACGGATCGAATGCGCCCGCAAATTTTGAAATAGGCAAAGGGGAGGGGGAGGGTTGGTTGGGGTAAGTCGTTGGGAAAGAGCGTGGGAGGAGGGTGGCAGGGCAGGGCGGCATGGGCGGCGCCATACAGCAAGGGGGTGACGATGGTCCGCTCCGCTCATACGCAAAGTTTGCGTCCGGACTTTAGGCGGCGGAGCGTGGCGTGGGGGAGCGCGGCCGGGGACCGCCTGGCCTCTCTGAACCTGTTGAGCATGCACCGCAGAGGCTTACGGCACCGCCTAGAGCTGTCTGTGGTCCAGGAGGCCCGGCGCCGCCCCCCGGCGCGCCCCCGGGAGACAAAAGCCTCGCCGCCCACGCCCAGGTGACCCCTAGACGGACCGGTTGCTAGCCCGCACGACCAAAGTGAGATTAATCGGGTCCCTGTGAAACGTGTACGTCAATTTACATTTACAATCAATTTTGTTAATTTCTTTTTACAAAATATGATCTAAATTTGCGACAGCCCATTCGTGCCCAGTCTATTACGCATTGCTTGTAATTTGTCAGCAGTAGACGAGGGGCCCACAACTCCGAAAAATTTTGTACACCTGATTTCCGGATTTCAAAGATTTCACATGATTTCACAAGATTTCAGGTGATTTCCACGGATTTCAAAGATTTCAAGTGAATTCACTGATTTCGCGGGATTTCGCGAAATTACCGAAATCATACGATTTTCCATAGATTTCGTGAGATTTCCAACGATTTTAAGTCATTTTTGAACGATTTTGAGAATTTCGCTTGCAGTTTGCCGTACAAGGAAGTATTTTAAAGAGTCTTTAGTCGTCATGGAATAACAGATAGCACTTTCACTATATAACAATGAAAATAATTTGTACGTATGCAGGCGTATGTCATAACTT